AAAAATTTTCTCATATGACATGCCGATTTTTACTTATAAAAGTACTTTAAAAATTACAATTGACTGTATAAAAAAAAAGATCGTCGCCAATCATATTTAGCCTAATTTTAGCCAATCAAAACAAACTTCCACTATGCTGCACAAATATCTAAAGTTATACTGCGCTACTACATTCATACTGTACTACATTCTTTGTACAATGTCACGATTGCAAATCGATCGTCGGTATAATATAACCGAATTGGGCAATCGATTGCATATTTGTTTAGGTTTGGCGCCCGATAGAAGTATCGTATTTAGTAGATTTAGGATATTTGGGATATTTGGGATATTTGGGATATTTGGGATATTCGGGACATTTAGCACATTTAGCATATATAGTATATTTAGCATATACGGTATATCTAGCATTTTTTGCATATAGGCAAATAGTATATAAAGATAGCATTTATTATATTGTAAAGATTAGATTAGGATATCTCAAGTAATTAATAAACCGTTTACCGGCCAAATCCACGCCTCTTTCGAGGGTGGTATTTTTTGAGTAATCACATTTGGTGGATTACTGTGAGATCCGTATAACACCCATCAACAAACTTTGAAGAGGTTGAGTCACCTGGACCGACATACTGAGTCCGAAGTACCGTAACGATTTTGGAAAATTGAAACGCATACAGTAATTAGGGAAAAAGACTAACGGCTATAAGTCTATTGAATTGAAAGTAAAGACTAACGGCTATAAGACTATAACTAAAAGACTAACAGCTACAATTAAAGAAAAGACAAAAGAAGAGTCGAAAGGAATGACTAAGTCAAACGAATCAAAGTCATAATTATAAGGAAAACCTCAAGTTGAAACGTAAAGAAAGGTTAAGTAGAAGACCAAAGAAAACGTCAAAGACGAAGCTTGAAAAGAAGATGATTAGTTGAATTTTTTTGGGAACAAAGCATCAAATCTTTTAAGAACAAGAACAGTATTTTGGAAAACCTCCCTAACGTAACACGGCTCCAACACAGGGCAAAAGAAAGACAAAAATGAATTATAAGCGAAAAAATTGAAGAAATTCGCTTTACAGAATTTTTTTTTCAGGGTCAGCACTTAAAAAAAATATATATATATATATATATATTTTTTTTTTTTTTAGGACAAAGCGCAGTATTTTTTTGGAAAAGACTTCCCTAACCCTGAAAGTTAGTGTGATAAATATAGTTGAAAAGATCGACGAATAAGTGGTAATATTAAAAGTGACGAAGTACAAGCTATTAATCTATAGAGATCTACAAGTAGACGCAAATAGGATTCAAGAATATTGTGTAATCGTGACGAAAAGTTGATATAGGATCAGCATTCAACAATAGAATACATACGTCAGAATTATCACTAACCTCGAAACGTCAAGAATTCGAATTGAGAAGCCAAGCAAACCACATAATGATGAAATTCAAGATAATAGAGACAAGAACAAACGGATAAAGCGGGACAAAACAAAACAAAACAAAAAAAAAAAAAAAAAAAAAAGATGTATGAAATTTACCAAGAACCGTCCGAACGAAAATCAAGACATATCGAGGCTAGAACAAAGAAACCTCAGTACGAAGGAAGAAGAATCTGAAGTCCTAAATTTAGCAGTCATCATAAAGAAGCAAACGACGTTTATAAAGACCCATACAAAAATCGAAAAAGAAGAATAAAGACTCGAATTAATAAAATGGACCAATACATAAAACAATTGAAATTCAAATGCAATAGACTTCTGGAAACACTTACCCCGGATGAATTTGAAGAAGTTCAAGATATAGTTGATGAAGTCTTTGGATACCAGACCATCGACGATACACAACTTCCGGAGGCCCTGGCGTTGACATTAGAAATTTTAGAAGATTTTACATACGACACACGAGAAGCTGAAGTACCATCAATTATCTACTTACCACCATATATTAAATTAGCATCAATATCGAAATCTACTGATGAAGTAGAAGTCAGAAACGATGAACGTAAAGTGCCCATATATTATAAGAAGCTTGCTGATACGAATCAAGACGGATATTATTACGAAAATAAAGTAAGAATTGAAAAGGATGAACATAAGATGTTCAGTTGTACTGGTGAGTTGGATGATGTCAGAAGAATGAAAACTGGTGAAATAAGAGTCGAAAAAGATGAATACAAAGCATCCACTTACCAAAGAACAGCAGAGACGAATTATGCTGGACTTGAATACGAAGATGAAACGGTAATACACGATTACTTGGATTGGCTAAGAGGCTTTGAATACGATGATAATGAGGATGTAACCAACAACTTTCATCAAAACAGAATCGAATTAGAAGCAGATGAAAATAAGGCACCTAACTATCAAAAGGCTACTAAAAAAGATTAGACAAGAAAAACGGATATCCTTGGAGTTGGCGACGATAAAGAAATTGAAGTCGAAATGGGCCAGTACGATATATATTGTTACGAAAAGAGAATCGGAGCTGAGAAAGACGAATATAATACATTCATCAGAAATCTTCTGAGACAAGTAATCCCAAAGATTTTAAGTATGATGAAGACGCTGATATGGATACCAGCAATAATGAAGTTGACAAAGACGATTCAGATAGCAATGTTGAGCTGGATAACAACAAAGATGATTACGACACGACAATTGCTGGAGAAGAAAGTAGAACATACGATCTGGAATATTGTTATCGACATGGAAATGAAATAGAAAAGGATGAGTATGGAAATGGGAGTGGAATTGGAAAATATAAAGAAAAAGACGAATACGAAATCTATTTGCATGAACTAAGAAACTTAGTACCCGATAATAAAATCGGTTATGAAACTGATGACTTAGAAAACGCGAAGAAAGATGAAACTAACAGCGTTAAAGACGAATTCTGGACATTCAAGCCAATAAGAACAGAAATACTTAACCTCGATTATTATCAGGAATTGGAGGAAATGAATTATGTAGATGAAGTTTATGAAATTTATAATTTCGAAAACTACTATTAAAACTGAAAAAGAACATAAGACGACTACGTTTCATCAAAAATTTTATGATGATCCCGATGAAACGAATCAGGCTGAAGAAATCTACAAGATTGGACATTATTATGAAAAAGGAATTGAAGAACGAAAGACGTTCACTTATTATCAAGAAGCCGCCGATTTGGGTAATACTGACGAATTATATACCGCCGGGCGCTGTTATCAATATGAAATTGAGCAATATAAAAAATCAGCAGAAGAATGAATCGAAGCCGAAAAGAATGCGCACAAGGCACTTATTCATTGTCAAAAGTCAACCATGGTGTTTATAGAACGGAGTGATGAAAATGAAAAGGAATTCGAAAAGATGATCATAAAGCGCCCATTTATTATCAAAATGTCACTGAACTGGATATAGCCACCGAATATAACGAAAAGAGTAATTATGATAATCAAGACAATGGAGCGATCGAAGATAATGAAATTATAAAAAAAGCAAAAAAGTTTATTACAAAAGTGAAAAATGTGCTGAGCGAAATCGCAATTAAAGTACCAATACTTATTGAAGACAATGAATCTTTGAAAGATAGGTGTAATTCCTGGAAAGAAAAAGCCGAAAGGTTCAAAGTTAATAAAGAAAAATGTAAAATAAGAAAAGACGAAAGTGAAATTGAGAAGAATCTCGAAAAGGATACTCATCAAGCATTCATCAATTATCAAGAACCTGCCGAGATGGAATATGATAATGGAATGTATACCATTGGACCCCAATATGGAAAAGAAATTAGAGCTAAAATGAACAGATGGATGCTCAGTTATTATCAAAAATCACCAAAAATGAGAAGTGCCAATAAAATATATGATTTTGGGCATTGTTATCAACATGGCATTGGAGTCGAAAAGGTTGAACATATAGCATTTATTCATCATCAAAATGTTAAGTTACTTAATTTTGATAAACCGGCACGCTCTAATGAAACGTTCGATCCTGGAGGAAAATCGAATAAAGTGGGAAATCAGAGGAAACAAAGCTACCCAACTAACATTGCAATGACTATGATGATGAAAATAAAAGCTGAAAACTTCCATGACCTGTCTATATTTGTGGAATGAATTATTAAGAAGGGGAAAATTGGTATGCATAAAAGTAGAATCGGTAATGAAAAGTCTACCAAAGATGGACGAAAAGCATCCAAGCGATACTTAAACGCTGCTGAAGGTAGAAATTCAAATGAACAATATGAGCTTGGATATTACCATCAAGATGGAATTAGTTTTGGGAAAGATGAACATAAGGCGTTCCTCTGTTATCATAAATCTGCAGAAACGAATGCTGATGAAGCAATTAGACCCGATTACAAGAATGAAATAAAGAAGAATGAACAGAAGGCATTCATTTACTATCGAAGATTAGATGAAACAATTATGAGAAAAGCAACCTTTCACTCACAACTACGACAGACAAGACCCTGCCTATTTGATCCTGGAGGTTTGATTTTGTTCGTGAAACGAACAAATTAGGTGTAGGAAAATGTCACGATTGCAAATCGATCGTCAGTATAATATGACCGAATTGGGCAATCGATTGCATATTTGTTTGGGTTTGGCGCCCGATAGAAGTATCGGATTTAGTAGATTTAGGATATTTGGGATATTTGGGATATTCGGGACATTTAGCACATTTAGCATATATGTATATTTAGCATATACGGTATATCTGGCATTTTTAGCATATAGACAAATAGTATATAAAGGTAGCATTTATTATATTAGGGGGTTTCAAAGTTAAAATCAGAGAATCTCATTTTATTTTTCCGATTTATAATTCAACATAATAAAAATACTATTGAAAAAATCCTATTTATTTTCGAAATGCGTCACTTATTTGTTAACTTTGAAACCCCCTATTGTAAAGATTAGATTAGGATATCTCAAGTAATTAATAAACCGTTTACCGGCCAAATTCGCGCCTCTTTCGAGGGTGGTATTTTTTGAGTAATCACAACAAACCTAATCTAATTACAGTAAGTGCACGCGCTTGGGACGAACTTTAAAAACGTGCACTTAGAGAACAATAAGAAAAAATGCATTTATAGAGGTCATATATATAGTTAGGTCCAAATTTAAGCGTGCATTTAAAGAGAGTGTGCATTTATAGAGGGTGCACTTATGAAGGATTTACCGTAGTACTTCTAAAACATTGTCATTTTTAAGAATCTGATATAGGTCCGAAGCGAAATTAAACAAATTCAAAGGAACCGTCAATCCTCAGATTTTATTGGTAGTTTCTGACTAACATTGCACTAAAACAATTGAATCCTCGCCCCATGAAAAAAGCTTCACGGAAATTTAAATGAATTATACGGAATATTTAGTATAATTTCGTATTACATACGGAATTCACCGCAAATCCTGTATTTTATATACGGAATATGCTTGGGAAATGATATGGAATCAATAAAGAAATGCATTAATTTTTATGCATTTTTTTATTGATTCCATATCATTTCCCAAGCATATTCCGTATACTGTATAAAATACAGAATTTGCGGCGAATTCCGTATGTAATACGGAATCATACTAAATATGCCGTATGATTCATTTAAATTTCTGTAAAACTTTTTTCATAGGGTCGGACAATTTCTATATATGTAAAACAACTGTTTTTTTAATACATTATCTATTTATACTAAACATTTAAACGAATTTTTGAAAATTAAAAATTGATCTCACATTCAAATTAAGCTTTTTTAAAAAAATTTATCCTATTATTAATAAAAGTTTGAAATCAAGATGGAATTTTCTCGAGTAATTTCATCAAAAGACTATAATATTGGATATGAACTTCTTCATGGTATTGGGGTTGAAAAGAACGAACATAAAGCATTCAAACATTTCCAAAAAGCTGCTAATGACGAACATGTTAAAGAGATATTCCAGGTTGGTTATTGTTATCATTTTGGTTATGGAACCAAAAAAAACTGGAATAAAGCATTTGAATATTATAAAAAAGCCGCAAATATGGGACTTGCTGAAGGAACATACATGATTGGATACTGTTATAGATATGGAATAGGAGTTGTCAAAGAAGAATGTAATGCATCTCCTTATTTTAAAAAAGCTGCTTTGGATAGTATTAAAGGAGATTTTAATATTGGTCGATGTTATAAAATAGAATGTAAAGAAATATATTTAAATGAATTTGATGAGGTTGCAAATATATTTAATTTTGGCAGGATGTATATGGATGGAGACGGAGTTGAAAAGAACGAAAAGAAGGGATTCGAATATTATAAAAAATCTGCAAATATGAATAGTCCATTTGGAATGTTTAATGTTGGGGTTTGCTATAGGAATGGAGATGGTGTCGAAAAGGATCAAAAGAAGGCATTAGAATATTTTAAAAAATCTGCAGAGATGGGTTTTGCCGATGGAATGTTTAGTGTTGGATCTTATTTTATGGATGTCGAAAAAGATGAAAAGAAGGCATTCGAATATGTTCAAAAATCTGCAGAGATGGGTAGTGTTTGTGGAATAAATGGAGTTGGCTATTGTTATCTGAAAGAAATTGGAATCAAAACTAACAGACAAAAAGCATTTGAATATTTACAAAAAGGTGCAGAGATGGGTTTTGATGCAGGAATGTGTTCTGTTGGAGATTTTTATGAAAAAGGATTTGGAGTCGAAAAAGATGAAAAAAAGGCTTTCAAATATTATCAAAAATCTGCTGACATGGGTTTACTTTAGGAATGTCACAGGTTGGTTATTGTTAGGTATTGAAACACCACTAGATATAGAGAAAGCTAATTATTGGTTTCAAATGGAACGGAGTAAATTTCATGAGATCATCAAATCAGAATATAAAAATCTCACTATTGATGATAATATAAAAATTTTATTAGATAATGATAAATATCAATTAGCATGGATTCCTTATTGTGAGTTTAAAGATATTGAAAAATTGGACAAGGTGGTTTTGCAACATCAGATATGATGGTGTATATGTTAATGTCACTAATTTTACTGTTGCACTTAAAGAATTTGAATTTGGTTTAAATGAGGTATTTTATTTAATTCAATGTATTATATTTGTATGTATGTTTGTTTTTATTAAATGTAATGTTTTTTAAAAGTTACAGGCATATTGTGAAATTGGATACAAAAACCCATTATTCATGAAGTGCTATGGAATATCAATGAACGAAAAAAGAAATTATATTCTTGTCTTAAAATATGCTAAATTGGGTTCCTTACAAGAGAATTTCGGTTTTATAATGCAATTAGATTGGAAGAAAAAGTTAAACTTGTTACTTAGTATAGCTTATGATCTTAAAGCGATCCATTCTCAAAATATTATTCACCGAGATCTTCATAGTGGAAATATTTTACAAGACAATCATTATAGTGCATATATTGCAGATTTAGGTCTTTCAATTCAATATATAGAACAAGAAAAAAATGAAATTTATTGTGTTTTACCTTTTATTGCTCCAGAAATTTTAGAAAAGAAACAATATACTATAGCATCAGATATTTACTCATTTAGCATAATAATGTGGGAAGTATTGTATGGAATATCTGTACTAGATTATTATGATTCGGATGACAAAGCTCAACAAATTGTTTTGGATAATTTACGACCACCACTTAATGAAGAATCATCACAAAATTATATAAATTTAATGAAACAATGTTGGGATAAAAATCCAGAAAAACGGCCAACAGCAGAAAAACTTTGTAAAATTTTTAAGGAATGGCAAGGCAATGATCAAATCCTGAATGAATTAAACAATTTAGATCCATGGTTTTTGTTACGTTCAAAATTTTGTGAAATTTTTAAAGATGATAATCAAGTTTTGGATAGATTAAATAATTCAGTTATATGGTCCCTGCCAATGCTAGAAATTGCTGTATTTCTTATAAAATGTCAAGACAATCATCAAGCTTTGAATGAATTAATGAATTCAGATCTATTTCCTATGCTGCTTCTAAAGCTTTGTAAACTTCTTAACCAACTACAAGAT